GGAACACCAAAGCAAGGTTCCATTGTACAACCATGTTCTTGCTGGAGCGATAGCGTGCAGGGCGAGAACGGGTACAGGAACTTCCGGGGCGGGACGAACGCCATGTTGGCGGATAGTGAAGCAGCTCAAGCCTCGTTTTCTACGCAGTCGCATGTGTGTCAGCCAGTTGATAACACCTAAAGCACCAGGTCTGGCGCTCATCACATCCCAGGATGCACGCTGCGCGGCCGCTTGCCTGTTCGTGAATCGAACTGAACGAGGGTCGGCTACACGTCACACAACGGACTCGCCGGGAATGCGCTAGGCCATAGCATTTTCGCCCTTCGAACATCCTGAAGCGGGTAATCCCGTCAACTGTGATGGGTTTGAGCTGGACCCAGGACAACCCACGACTGCTGGCAGGGAAGGACAAGCGAGATCGAAGGGAAACCGAAATCGGATGGCATGGTCACCAGGAGTCAGCTCCACTACTGTAACTTCCATACGGGAAAGCTCCCGGCTTTCTATGCATGTAATTAGCCGGCCAACATTCACGCTTAGACTAGAGATCATGTTTAAAATCTCTGATGAACTGGCAGATGTACCGATATACAGCACAATTGAAGCAGGACGGGTGGGACTTCGGCTCTGTGAGGCAGGGTGGTGGGCATTGTTGATTGGTCGGCGGCGTAGGTTCCCTCGGAGCTGTCGCTTCGCGAGGAGGTCGGGCAAACCAATTCGTTTCCTCTTCCACTTCAGTGTCATGTCCCACACATCCACATCACGCATGGAGGGTCGTTGCGTAAGTACTGGTGCTTCATCGTCGAGCGCGACGCCACGAGAACGCTCAACAAATGACGAGACTACAAAGCCGGTGTCGGTTTCACAAGGGAACTGCTGAATCAGACAGGTCCTCCTGCTTCGAGAGAAGACGAGGGAAAGGAAAATCGCAGAACGTCATGGGAGACAATCAGTTGCCGAAGGCTTGTGAGATGAACAATTCTTTTTGTCCTCCATGCGTCAATTCGATCCGTCCTCCTCGTCTCTATTCTTCTCATGCTGGAGTCGTTTCCAGACGGCGGCACATTCGCTAAAACGCACGCACGCGAGGGCATCATGCATTGTGCATCCGAAACGGGGCACACCCACGTACCCCAGCAAGGCAATTCTCCTCGGGCCTAGACTATTCCTTCCGTGTTGGGGGGTTGGCACAGTTTGCGCACCGTGTGGACGTAGTTTCAAGTGCTTGCAAAACTGCCATCGACGTCGTGTGAGAGCCGCACTGCGCCACCTCAACATCGAAAGATGTCAGTCGCATCTGAGTCTTCCCACTGGTCTCGTGCCCAGGCCAGCCCTAGTGTAGACGATCACCAAGCTTCTCACTATCCAACCGTGTTCTGCTATTCGTTGTGTGTTGTCATGGGAGGAATGCTACACACTACATACATGTGGTCCATTTGGAACAATCCTTACGGAAGACAAATTGGAACAGAGTAGACTAGACTAGTGTTGGCAGAAAAAAAAACTATCGGGATCATGTAACTTGGCGTCCACCAATTAGCTGTCTCCGTTCAACTTGGCGCCTACTTGGCGTCGTGTCTATTTCCCAGTAATTTTGGCAAATACGCTGCTTTTTCTGCGCGAACAGCATTCGAACCGACCAGTTCAGAGACCGGCACACATCAGGCGGGAGCCTGGGCGCTGCAACTGGCGCATACCAGACGCCAACAACAGCAGAGACCACTCTGGTCTCTGTGCACGAAGCTTCGCAATGATAATGTCAATCCACACTGAGTGTCGATGACGAGCACGCAGCAGCAGCGCACGCCAGAAGAGCTATAGCGAGGAGAGAGAGGGAGATCGCACAAACACGCAAGCACGCACACACACGCAAATATTAATGTCTAGTTACTGCAGCAAGACAGCAGTAGTAGTACCATAGGATCCATGCATGCTCTTTTATTATCTGCACGCCCGTCCTCTCGTCAGACCACTTCATCAAGTAACGTGATGATGATGCTCTGGCACCTCCGCGTTGTTTTTTTTCGCCCTCTTGTCTTCATCGATCCGTAGGTCCTTTCTTTGGAGTGAACACCCCACCCAAAGCAACTGCCAACGATCATCCATCCCGACGCGTCGGTATGTTGACAACCCGCATGACAAAAAATAGGCACGGTGATTTTTTGCTGCCCCGGTGACGGCACCTCTGCTCTATTGTCTCCTGTCCTTCATTGCTTCATTGAGTGAGATGCAACATTTTGAGAGCGTGTGGCCCGCAGATGAATGGGTTTCACCGTGTATTGGCGGGCTTGGCCCGCGTACGATGAAACTCCTAAAATCTCTGTCCGGGTACATTCAAAATTAGCCATAGTGTTTGAGCGTTGCTGGTCTGTCCTCTTGATCCACCACACAGCTTGCCAATGGCTTGAATCACCAAGTGTTATCTCTACGTCGCCGAACTTCATAACTACTGTACGTGGATCAAAGTGGAGTTCGCGGATTCTGGCGTGGTTCCAAGAACGAGAGGGAGGAGAGCAACAGTTACGGCTTGATGCTCCGGTATTCAACATTAAAACCCGACAACACACGCAAATGTAACTCGTGCGTGTTGTCGCCTCAGCGAGGCTGGTTGTTCGTTAGAGCCAAGGTTCGGGGGCATAGTTGCTCTAAGAGCTCTCGCTTCACATTTCGCATGAAACACATTTCGCTTCCCCTCTAACGAGCAATGACAAGATCTGTGCGGGACGGGCATACACATGTACGAAGTATCCCGAAGAATCGAGCACAGTGCCCAATCACTCGTTGCCCGTCAGGAAAGGGCGAGAGTAGTTATCATTTCATCCGTCGTACTGGAAGAGAAATGGAATTGTTGATGCAAGGCGCATGGACCCGTCTCCACCTATGTTTACAAAAGTGTCCACCTAATGCCTTCCATCAGATGGCATTTCTCTTCGACGTGTTCTATCTTCGACGATCATCATTGTCTTGACGACCCTGCCTGCGGGGCAAAGAGCACGCCTTTCGTCCAGAGTGCGTGATTGTTTTGATTCTGAACGTGAATCCGCGGTGTATCGTCAAGTCATGAAGGTCGAGGTGGGGGGTGGATTCGACGACGGTGCTATTGTAGGGTGTTGACCCCCCAGCGTTCAGGACTTGTGCCAAGCGGGAGAAATGATTTCCGGGGACAATACTTGTATGTGATCGGGTAGCAAAACATGGAACAACATTATACATTATTGTACAGACTATACATCGGGCAGTTTCCAGAGTTCAAGTGTGACGCATTCTGCCGCACACGTGCGAAGACCCACCAGCAGCTTCAGTTGCCACTAACGTGTCGTAAAGGTCAGAAGGCCACAATGATCTTTTTCAGTGCTCTAGCTCGCATTATAAATGATGCAGTCGTTTAGGTGTCATGAGGAACAGAGTCCATGACAATGGAAACCTGCTTCGATTCCCGCCGCGCGTAGGGCTGACGCGGTAGGCGATGGAGCATCATCGTCTCTACCGCGAGAGTCCATCTGTAATATTTATGGTTTTAGAGTCCCACCAGAAGTAGGACGTACGCCCATATTGAGGAATTGGGTTGGGCACGCAAAGGTACGAGGGCAAAGAGACGCCGAGGGAATACGGCTGAACGTGAGTGACACAATCAATCACATCATAGAGGTTCACTTCATTTGAAAGGCGAAGGTGCAGAGGTAAATAGCCATCCATTTGTTTCCCCCCAGTTCATATACAGAATATTCGTTCCTCTTTCGTCGCTCTCCTCCCCTGTGCCTTGGGATTGCTTCCAGCGGCGGTGCATAGTCTAGACTATATGCCAATGTGAGCAGATCTCCAACGATATAGACTAGGGTATAATGTTACTGTATGCACGGAGAAACCTACGCAGATCTGCAGGGCGGTGCCTGCTGGACATTCATCGAATTTATGTCTGTAAGGTTGTCATCCTGCATTTTGTCCCACGGTGGACACGTGCCATCAACGCGGTCAGACCGCGGTGGACCACAACGCCACCTTCAAACTGAACTGCATGATCAGAATTTGTTGTGGGGGTTATGTAAGGATTTCGGCACACCCCACGAACGCTTCCAGACCCCCATCTACATTGCAAAATGCATGTGCTGTAAACCCTACGGAGCGCAAGTGCGGGCAGCGCCTTTCCAAGAACCTTATGTAGTGACCCCTTTCCAGCGACATTCACAATTTCTGTATTGAGCGTCGTCACGCCGGTCTATGACACAGGCCAGGAGCAGCACACCGAGCAGACACAATGCGCCGATTGTCGAAACGAACGTCTCCATTTACTGATACTCACGAACGCCCGGGATAATGACTGCTAAAGCGGCAGGAGCTCTGGGTCAAGCGACGTTCACTCAATCAAGGACGCTACAGCCATGCGGTTGGCCGCCTTACAGCTTGAACCACACTCATGTGCGTTCAGCTATAGCACGCTCATACTATTGTCGTCACCCTACTATCCAACAGAGAGATTGCGGAGAGTGCCACCGCGCTCTGACATATTGTCATCCGCCGGTCCTCCTAATCTCTATGGTTATCTCTCGCTATTCACTCGTCTCTCTCCGTTGCAAGCGGCAACGGTCGCGCGACACGGCATCATTACATGCAGAACCCTCGCGGTTGTCGCTGCAAGGTCTTGCAAAAAATGTCATGAACACCAGGCTGTTTTATGGCCTCTGTTTCTCGTTAGAAGCATGCCGCTAAGGCAGAGCACGGTCGACCTAGTAGCTAACGATCATTCGATGCTGCAAAGCACTGCTCACTCACGATGTAGGATGGTCCTCGCTGCACAGACCCTCACTCGTGCTCGTGGCAACAAGGATTCTCGGCCGGGATTCTGATTATTGAGTATGGACCGACACGGCGTAGCCGCTCTGCCTGAAGGAAAAGCAGAAGCAAGGAGTGCGGGGCTGAGAAGATTGTGAGGGATATGCACACTCACAACAAGGAGTAACTAATCATTCGTCATCAACGAGTGATATAGAATTGATTGGCCCGCTCGTCGGTAGCGCGGAGAGCCTAGTCGATCTTTTTCTCTCAACAAAGAATACATATTCATTGGTCAACCTCTATTTCGCGGTCAACGAAATCAAGACACCGAAGCAACATAGACAGAGATAGCCTTCTCGCCGCAACCAAAGGGCCATCACGGTCTTTCAGCGAACATTGCCAACGATTGCCTCAATACACTTAGTCTGAGCCTCCAGCGAACCAACCATGTAACATTCGGCGCAGTCACTACGGTGTCTTCCGCAAAGGTAGCCCACAATGCGTGCTGAACCGTGCTCACACAAGGCGGTATGCGAAACCTAATCCACGTCACGTATGGACGTTATTGCGTGGTCCGGGTACACCCGTTCACAGCACGGTCCCCTCTGTGGTCGACCGCCACGGATGAAAACTGCAAACTCTCGTCGTCGTAGCGAGCCGAGCGGACTACCGGGGGACACAATGTATGAGGAGTTCCGACGCCACAATGAGTCTACGTATCGCCGCCGTTGATTGGCAGCCTCGGTTAGAAGCATGTGTGTTGAGGTAGACTTGGGCTTATTTCTCAAGACCTCTCTCCTCCCTTTGTGGCCTGTATTGTAGCGACACGAAAGGCTGGTGCATTCGAGAGCGCTGAGAAAATATAACATGACGACAGCAACAGGAATTCAACCCATTGGCTCTCAGCTGGTCATGTCATCAAAGCTCACAAAATGGGTCAATTCCAACTCTACTACTTCCTTCATATGTAGTGGATAACCGGCAACCCACCGCCGACCGGAAAACAAGCTACGTAGTATGAAGTCGAACCTTGACGGGCCACGCCTAGAATGACCGTTGGCTGACAGTCCCGTACGAACGCACAAGGGCAAAAACGTTTCCCAGACGCTATGTTCGTGGCTAGAGGCGCATGTGTGTTGCGTTTTTCGAAAGCACAATAACGATTCCCATAACTGAACTCACATCTCGATACTTCTTGCCTCGAGCGCCAGCGATAGAGCAACATGCCGGCCCGCATCTCGGTATGTATCTCTCTCCATCTCCAAACTTCCTTCTCGCAGGATTCACCAAACACCGCCACCCACCCCTTCATACACGAACGGCAAGGTAGCCTAACATACAGCTGGTCGTGGGAAATGACGAAGCAACATGCGTCACAACCCACAACTCATAACCCAGAACAGCGTGCGTAGCAACATGTGGTACCTACCGCTGTCTTGCGTTCGATGCTTGACTACAGGCCTGTGCCCGGCGTGATGGCAACTAGAAGATAACCACTTTAAAGCCAACGTCTTTTCCCCCGATTACCTTGCGGACCACGTTGACGACGCACACATGCTGCGCTATATAGTCAACCGCGAAGCTCAAGCTCGTGCGGGCAGGTAAGTCCCATCCCCAACCGGTGTCCAACGCAGAAAAAAAACGAACACGGAAGCGCTATGTGGAACATCATCGCTCAAGGTAGGTCGGTCAGACACAACCCTTCCCACGATGTGTCCTACACAGAAACAGAAAAAAACGTTGGAGCCTGACCAAAACATTCCAAGGAATGTATAAAAGGACAACGGCCGCACCGCACGCCGACCATCAGACGCGCGTCGTGAAAGCCTCATTGCCACCGCGCTGTCAATCGCTCCCCCCTGCCCTTCCCTCGAAGCAACTACTCAGTGCGTAAGCCTTTCGGTGGAAGTGAAAGCATCAGAAAATAAATGAAGTCATACGCAGCTGTCACCCGTATGCAAGGAAGAAGGCACAAGATGCCGAACACCCTTAGCAGGATGCAGCGCACCCTCCATGCGACTCGCCGAATACCTCCCGGCGCTTCGCACGTGATGAATTCGCTAGCCTTGTCTGGCGGGAAAAACTCGGCGTCTTCCGCCCCGGCTCTGTGAGAGGCCAACGGCCTAACGCCCTCCGGCATGCACGGCAATGAGTCACCCCCCGACGACGCACTAGAATGAACCTCGCTCTCCAAATTTACACACAAAAAATCCGAGTCACACACACACGCACGCGCCTTTAGTACACAAGGCGGTACTTTCCCACCAGGTACGTACGGTACTTGGCGTACATTTCGGCGCTGAGATTGAGCCACCTGGCGACCAGAACCCTCTCCTCCCTCTCCAGGTGGATCTCCAGGCTCTCGGCGTACGCCTTGAGGGCGACCACCACGGCCTGGGCGGAGGCGACATCAGCGCCGCCGCTAACCGCTCCGGCCGTTGTGGGGGCCGACCGAAGGTTCCTGACGCGGTCGAGGGCCTCGTTTCCGAGGTTCGTTTCGGAATGGTCGGCTTCTAGGTCCCTGCCAAAAAAGATGGGCGAGAAAAAGAAAGTTTGGGGGGGGGAAAGGTCGCGAGGCAAGGCGGGGGTCAGGGCGAGTGCGTCGTTTTTCCGAGCTGCGTGTCTGAATGGTCGGCTTGTAGGTCCCTGCCAGGACGAATGGTGGGCGAGAAAAAAGAAAAAATTGGGGACAAAAAATGCGAGGCGAGTTGGGTAATGTAGGTCGAGCGCGTCGTTTCCGAGCTGCTTGTCGGAGGTGGTTGGCTATAACAGTAGGTCCCTAACGGCAAGATGTTCCGGAAAAGGCCATCGGTATATATTTTCGCGAGGCGAGGGGTTAGGGATGAGGGTGTTGGGTGCTTTCGGTTTGTGTTTGGAGAATGTTCCGGGGAAGGGGCTCACAATGGAAGTCAAGGTCAAAGACCAAAGGACATCGAAAAAAGGGCGTAGAAGAGAAGGAGGGGGAGGAGAGAGAGAGAGAGAGAGAGAGAGAGAGAGAGAGAGAGAGAGAGAGAGAGA